TGGTTCTAAGTTGCTTCTCTCCTTGATTAGTTTCTACCCATTGCTTCGTGTTCTGCCCTCAGGTGCTTTGGAGAATAGTTTTTAAGAGTACATCCTAACAGTGAGGAATCAGAAGGAGACTACCTGGTGATTTTGGAATCCCGATACGGGATGTGGCTGCTTTTCCGGCGGGGGTCTCCCAGGGCACTGATGACGTTGCCCAAGGCCAACAGGCTGGCATTGATCTGGATGCTCTCCTTCAGCCTCTCCCCAGTACATCCAGACTTTACCACCCGCTCAGAACCGGCCAGATCCACAAAGTGAAACTTGGACTTCAGAAGCTGCCCAGAGGTTGGTGCCACCAACGTTTTCTCCGGGCAGGCGAAGCGAGCGAGGCAGTTGCTGCCCTGCCTTCGCGCCATGGTCACCGTGAAGATGGTGTGGGAACGGCTGGACCTCCGGTTGAGGTGGGTGCTTCCCGTGTGCTTGGCTGCATTGCCCACTTCCAGCAGGCTCAGAACCTCATCCAGACCTTCAACTTCCGTTTCCTTCACCCCGTGCAGCACTGCAACAAGAGAAGGAAGGACAGAGACTGGGCCCCCTTGTTGTAATAGCAATAGCAATAGCACTTAGACTTATATACCACTTTATAGTACTTTACAGCCCTCTCTAAGCAGTCTTACAGAGTCAGCCTATTGTCCCCAACAACCTGGGTCCTCATTTTACCCATCTCGGAAGGATGGAAAGCTGAGTCAACCTTGAGCCTGGTGAGATTCGAACTGCTGGCAGTTGGCAGAGTTAATCTGCAATGCTGCATTGTAACCACTGCACCACCATGGGCCTGCCTTCCTTCCTTCCTTCCTTCCTTCCTTCCTTCCTTCCTTCCTTCCTTCCTTCCTTCCTTCCCACTTAGCAATAGCACTTAGACTTATATACTGCTTTACAGGACTTTGCAGCCCTCTCTAAGCGGTTTTAGAGAGTCAGCCTCTTGCCCCCAACAATCTGGGTCCTCATTTTAGCAACAAATTGTGCTATCAAACTCTTACTACAAAGGAGGAAGAAAACATGTCCTAAGGGAGGTCTGTCGAAACTTGGGAACTTTAAGACTTCCAGTTGGGGAATTCTGGGAGTTGAAGTCCACAAGTCTTAAAGTTCCCAAGTTTGGACACCCCTGTCCTAAGGGGTTCTTTATGGAGGAAAGGTGACGGGGGGGAGAAAAGAGTCCTTTGGCTTATACCCATATTCCCCCGGTCATCTTCCCATATCTGGATGTCCTTGCTGGCTGTGTCCACCTGCAACAAGTCTCGGAACTCCTCCTTGTAGACCTCCAGGTAAGAGACACGGACAGTGTAGTTGAGCAGATCGTTCTCATCCATCAGCTTGAAGGCCTCAGCCATGGCGCGTGGGATGATGCCCTGCTCATCCTCCTTGATGGAAGCTGGATGGGAGAAATGGAGTTATCAGAGGCACTGGCTGCAAGGCGGACGCATCCCCTTCCTAAGGGAAATGGACTGATGGCACTGACACACACACAGAGACACACACACAAACACTCGCATTTCCACCAAAGGTAGACCTCCTAACAAAGGCACGTAGGTTTGGCAATACTTTGAAGAAAGCATATTACACAGGTTGGATATATATGCAGTGCATACATTAATAATAAAATGAGTGTTTTCAAGGTTCTTTTCAACAAACTAATGGAGGGGGGGAGAAGAGAGGAAGAAAGGAAGGAAGGAAGGGGAAGGAGGGAAGGAAGGANTCTTTTTTGAGGGAAAAAGGTGCATCTTATACTCCGAAAAATATAGTATATTTTGCGGGGATCGTGCAAAGTTGCTCCTACGTTTTAGCCTGAAGTAAACTCAACACTGTCAATTCCCTTTTCTGCCTTCCCCAGCCCCCAGGAGCACTCTATAAGCCCCTTAAAGGCTATGCACAGCCATTTTGGTGAAGGGGGTGGGGTTTCGGGAGGCAAAGGAAATTCCTATATTCAGTGTATAAGACACACCCAGATTTTCAGCCTCTTTTTTGAGGGAAAAAGGTGCGTCTTATACTCCGAAAAATACGGTATTCTTCTGTAGGCCGTTTGGACACAGGTCTTTTAAGAGGGTTAATTAAAAAGATCAGATGGATCCGCGTTTGTACTCATCAGCAAAATTTCTTGGAGTTCCATAACAACCATGGAGAGGATGGAAACGGCCAGTCGATCAATGGCTACAGGTGATCCTCGACTTACAACAGTTAATTTAGTGCCTATTCAAAGTTACAACGGCACCGAAAAAAAAGTGATTTATGACGGTTTTTCACTTAGAACTGTTGTGGCATCCCCATGGTCACGTGATCAAAATTCAGACACTGGCCACTGACTCATAGTTATGGCAGTTGCAGTGTCCCGGGCTCCTGTGATCCCCTTTTGCATCAATTCTGTCAATGGGGAAGCCAGATTCACTTAACAACCATGTTACTAACTTGGTTACTAACAACTGCAGGGATTCATTAAACTGTGGCAGGAAGGTCGCAAAACGGGAACAAAACTCGCTTAACAACAGAAACCTAGGGCTCAGTTGTGGTCAGGTTTATTACTACAGTCAGAGACCAGAACAAATAAAAACAATCAGGGATTTATCCAGTTAAAAATTCTAGAATAAAATAATAAATAGCGAGAGCACTTGGACTTATATACTGCTTTACAGCCCTCTCTAAGCGGTTTACAGAGTCAGCATATTTGCCCGCAACAATTTGGCTCCTCATTTTACCCACCTCGCAAGGATGGAAGGCTGAGTCAACCTTGAGTCTGGTGAGATTCGAACTGCCAAATTGCAGGCAGCAGGCAGTCAGCAGAAGTAGCCTGCAGTACTGCTCTCCAACCACTGTGCCACCAGAGCTCATTTTAATAACAGATATTAAAATCCAGTCTGTCAGTTACACCTGGCCTAACTATACTAGAATAACAATCCATAAACTGTGAGGCCCGGTGTTATTAAATACTAAAAAAAGATATTTGTTCTGGTCTCTGTCTATAATACATGTGATTTGATCTGATTTTGATTTGATTTGAATATAACTATTGCTTCAGCAAAGCCGATAAGAATAGAATAGAATAGAATGGAATGGAATGGAATGAGATAGATGATAGATAGATAGATGACAGATAGATAGATAGATAGATAGATAGATAGATAGATAGATAGATGGATGATAGATAGATTATAGATATAGATAGATAGATAGATAGATAGATAGATAGATAGATAGATAGATAGATAGATAGATA